TTTTATTATTAGAGGTGTATTACATTACATGTGTATGGTACATGTGGGGTCAAATAATCAAGTTTATGGTATGACCCGAATATATAGTCTAGTGTTTTAAATGATGTTGTTTCCCATCTTTTTAGTTGTTTCTTGAAGATCCAGTTCTGAGTGCCGGCACTATTTGTTCATTCTATAATGAGAACGTTAAACATAAGTATGTGAAAGATGTCTTGCGATCAATTGATAATGGTACAACAACACAATGGAACATGCATTGGCAGAATTGTATGGACACGGCGAGGAAAACATTTCGAAGGTTCTACAGTAGACCTTATTGTATTCCCCCTATGGTTGAAATGATGAATTCAAATTGGTTATTCATGTCTTCTGGAGTAAACAAACAACAACTATCTAAACTACCTTATGTGCGGGTAAGTTGATAAGGTGTGCTATTTATAGATGCATGCAAGATTATCTCAGATTCAACTGATTTGTTATTGACATTAAGTGTTAAAGTTGAAAGCTCTCAAATCAAATCTTGAAGTTACAACATTCAAGATCAAAATTTGATGTATTGTGCCATTTATCGACGAAGTTATTGTTTGTCTTTACTACACTAAATCCCATCATGCATTGCTGTTCAAATTGTGCTTTGGATGCTCACTCAGAAAAAATAACCCAGGAAGTGTATTATGTTTGTAAAAGGAATCCATATCTTCAGAGAGTGATAGATAGAAAGGCAATAGTATGTCAAATCGTTTTTAGTGTACAAAAATTCACTGCTAAACATTTCGTTGTCACCTGATGGTTAACAGTCTTGTGCCACATACTGTACTTTATTTTTACTTGGAATTTATTTACACTGTAGGGATGAATGAGGGAGAAAAAATCACTTTCATACAAGACAGCCCAAATCAGTCTTTTCAGTGATAATTAATTCCAGCTAAAATAGTGTAGTTCACAGTATCTTTTTACCCATACAGATTGAGACTGATTGCACAAAACAATTATTAAATACAAAATTATAAAAATATTTTCTGAATGTTATAGCTGTTTGAGTCATAGTATTGTTTTTTTTCTGTTCAGTCTCTTGACACTGGTGTATCTATGACATGGTTTGCACAACTGAAAGGTAGTTATGAGATCAAATTAAAACCCCATGAAATATGTGAAGAGGATTGTGAAGTTATGACAGCTATTCTACAACCCGGAGAATTACGTGAGTTCACATATTACTTCCTGTGCCTTATCTAAGATAAGTACATCATGTTGCGTGTTTTTTTTGCTCTCTTAAAAAATAACTAAAAAATACAATGCTGCATAGACAGTGTTGATTTGTCTCAAACCCCAAATGGCCACTCCACCCACACAATAAAACAATGATTAATTCACAAATCATTGTTACCATTAAATCAGCCTGCACATGTAATTATGTCAGTTTGTCACATGGCCTATCAATTTCCACCTGTCATTAATATGGATTATTTTAACTTTCAGTGGTGTTCAGCAATATCATGTGGAAATTTGAATTCCGTGTGGCCAGCGAGAAAGATGTCATCGCCATTGCAGCCAATGGTAACTGGGACTAAGACATAATTATCATTTCTTAATTATTATAGTAGTTTTAATTACCAGTATATAGCATCTTGTATTATTTCTGTAATGAGTTTGATTTTTGCAATAGGTGTATTTTGGCAAAACTAGAAAATTGTCGAATTAAATTTCACCTGGCTTTTATATGCAAGGAGGTGCAGTGGACTTCTGTCATGTCACCAAATTTTGAAAAATACTCTGTGATGAGTAGGTTACATTAAATGATAATTAATATGTAATATTGTAAAATGACTAATTTTCACTGGGTTTAAATTTCACTGATTTACCATTTCAGGCATATTCAGTGGGTTTTAAATTCACGGTTTCATCATTTAGATAATGTGTTTTATGCTAAATTTTACATATTCACTGGGTTTTGATTTAGCGCATTTTCCCAGTCAGCGAAATAAGCTAAATTAAAACCCAGTGAATAATTACCCCCTTTACAGTACATTCTCCAGGCATCAACTGAGTGCATCTATCTAATCAGTGTCAGCCACAGTTGAATTTAAATATTCTTGTGTTCAAAGTTGAGTTCTCATTACAAACAACATACAGAATTGTACATCTTTCATGCTAATAAAAACACAGATTATGATCTATTCCAACCAGAAAATGTTTATTCTATTTCTGTGTTTTATTTTTATCTTTTCGACAGAATTACATTGCCAGTTGCATTTACACATCCTACATGCTGAATGTTCCACAGTGAGTGATTGTACAGCAAACCTACTTGGTTGTTTATGGTTTGGACAACATTTTTGGGACTATTTTTTGCATTTTCCTAAGTTGTTACATCAAAATTGGGTGTGACATGTAGCAAAGACTGATTCTTGGCTTTGCAACCATGCACACAGCATAAATGCATATTTGAAGAATCAACGCATGTATTCTCTCACTACCTATGTACAGATAATACCTTGTAAAACATCTAATGTTAGTTATCAAGATTAGTATTTGCAGCATTTGTTCTCTGTTATTGTGTGCATGCCATGTACCGTGATCAAATGAATGAATTACTCCCTTGCACTTACTCAAGACTCTTATCATCTGTGAACCAAAAACAACTTCAGTTGAACCAAAGAATTTATAAACTTAATTAGTGCAGTATACCCTGTAAAATTTTTGTCAAAAAATAGATTTTATTTGTTCCTTTTACTTTTTTTTCCTCTCCTCACCAGGTATCTAATAAATTACTTATACCTAGCATTTTGTGAGTGTTTTTATTTTTATATTCTGATATTTTCTTTGATTTTTGTCAAATGTAGTGCCCAAAAACTGAAATTGTCCTGGTCATTGTTTGCATCAATAATATGTGTGTAGCATACTTTATTAACCTGCCAAGTTTTGTCAGGTTTTTATTAAACCTGCAAAAACTCAAGTACAATTTAAACATTTTTTACTGCATATGTATTGGAGAATTTAGATTTGGAGAGTTTGTGTGCATAATAGTAATGTAATGATAGTTTAACATGGGATGCTTCACTCTTGGATTGATTTCAAACTCCTGTGATGCATTGAAAAACTCAGCTCAGTGCAGTTATCTTTCAAACATTACACCAACCACACCCACAAAGTGAAGCTGTAACTGACTATAGATGAAGATTGTCTTGTATTGCATGAACCAAATATTTCATTTAAAAAGCAAAGTCAACTGAGTATGCTTATGGGAGGGCGCCGACATGCATTTTATTCAGATGAGCCAAGCAACCACTTATACTGCATTGAAGCACAATCAATTCGTTTCCAACTTTAAGGCTGTATGTAGTACTTGTGCCCTTCAATTGAATATTTACAAATTGCTTAACAAGTTGTGTTGTACTGGAGAATGAATTTTTAATCCAATGGAGGTAGACGTGCAGTTTTAGTGAACAAAAGAGCTCATTGCCAACCAAGGTGAGCTTGACCCCATGAGGGTCATGAAAACACTTCATTTCTGTTGAGGTGAACATTTGTATTATATCGAAAAGCTCTTGAAACAGAAATAAGACTGTAAGAACTGTCATTTCGAGCAGGAAAACCATTATAAAGAAATATATAGGTTAGTTTATAGTCTTGATCTCCTTCTTCCTGTATGGACTGTTCCTGTTGCCAATAATCTTTGGCCCCTATTTATAGAATGGACTGGTCTACTTATCAATTACCATCATCAATAATAATGTGAACGTCATTGGTATACAATGTCACTGCCATGTAGTTGTAGTTTCACAGCGTACGCTTACATTGACAACGACATAAAAAAAATCAACTATCAGTATTGTAGAGTAAGAGAAAATAATGCAAGTATAAGGGTGAGCGTGTAAAATTACAATGCGGATTTGTGTAGTACTACACATTTATATAACAATTCTTAGTGTATGTTGTATAATGCAATCTTTCCACTATGTAATAATAAATTTATTCATAATACTATAGGCCTCTGGCCTCAAGGTGTATACTCATTGTAATTACATAACATGTTACAGAGGACAATGTAATTTTACAGTGACTGAAAAAGAACAAGAAAATATGAAAAGAACATGAACTGTCAGACCAAAATAATTGTATTACGTTTTTTTGTGGCGAGAAAAATAAATTTAGAAATATTACGCAAGATTACTGCATTTTGTAATTGTAATAGCGATATAAATTTTTCGGATGAAGGAAGTGTATAATAATGTATTTAGATCTGAACTCTTGGTAAAACGGTCAGATAATGCAAAAATGGTACTCGTCCTCTACACAATTGGTATTACATAAAATACAAACTCTTTCTGTGCCTGTATTATGGAATTTTCTATCAGTTTCAATACGTAGACAATGGGCAGAAATTCTTAGGCGACACAATGCTTTCTTGTAACAGTCTTTTTGGACTGTTTTAAAATAATTCTCTTGACCAAATATATATTTAAATTTTCTTTAAAAGCACAGCTTCGGAAATAGCTCGAGTTCACTTTGCCAATTTTGAATATCAATGTCCAAGCATCGCTGTTTGAAAAGCTTAACTAAGTATTCAGAGTTCCCCACCCCTTGGTTGTACCATGCCATTATATGATGTGATATATCCTTTATATGATGCGATCTCTCTATTATATATTGCAATCTCTGCATTGCGTTCCCTGTTTTATATAATGTGATATATTCATTATATTATTCGAAGTATTATATTATGCAATCATCACATTATATGATGTCGGTGTTATATCCATTATATTGTGCAATTTCAGCATTATATGATATGATCCCTCTATCATGTGATTTCCTTATAATATGGTGTAACATCTTCATTATATGATGTATCTCTATTAGATAATATGCTAAGTCCATTATATTATGTGACTTTCTAATTACTAGTATATGATGTGGTATCTTCATTATGTGATGTGATATTTCTATTATATAACGTTATGAATTACATTATACAGTATATGATATATCCATCATAATCATATTATGCAATTCACCAATCATCTAAGATTGGTAAAACAATATTTCCCCATTAGTATCCGTTATCATTTATTTCAATAAGTCTTACAAAGTGTCCAATACATGCATTTATGATGACCCCCTCGACCCCAATCCCATTCCCTCAAATGGTAAGTAATTCATTGAGCCAGAAGATTTATTTCCACAATTTCTAAATTATTATGAGCTTCACTTTCAAACTCCACTATCGGACCATTGGTGTCGTCAGTCCCAATTTCCATTAGCAGCTAATGCTACGGCATCTGCACTTCCCGATACTTTGTATTCCAATATCCACATGTCATTACTAAATACCACTGCAAGAAATAAACCGAGAATTATACATGCACGTAACAATTTGACGAGACGAGAATAATATGAGTGACATTGAATACAAATAACATGTAAGTTTCTGTTCACTGCGAGATCTCGCGCTATGTGTGAAATCGAACTGGAAAACAAATCTCATAACATCTCGTGTGATACGAGCCTAATAATGTGCTAAACACATTTGATGAAGGTCAATTTTGATGAAGTAAGGACGCGATATTTCTATCGGAAGAATGTGCATTTCGACATTGAACTATAAAGAGAGAAATTGAAGTTCAAAATCAAATTAGTCGATTTTTGCGGCAGACGTTCGATTCGCATTATGCGAGATCTCGCAGTGAACAGAAAATCACCCATTACTTACACATTTCGCCTGGATTCAGAATGATGTGTACTTTATGACAAATGTCGGTACATACTGCATTCGGTATTAATGTAATGAGGTAGTTTCCTTTCAGCTGGGCGAACCATGTCATAGTGTGCGCCATCTCATCCGATGATTGAAAGCCCATAATATTATAAAACTTAAAAGAAGAAAGTGATAAAAGTTAGTGGTCAGTTATTTAAAACAAGTCATGAAACAATGGAATGTACAAACTGAGGGGTTTACCTTCAAGCTGGTACACGGTTGCTAAATAAGTTATAACATATAGGGACAAATTTGAGAATGATTCCATGTTGAGTATACTCTCTATAGCAACATATGAATCTTTGGAAGCGCCATTAAATGTAGAAAACTGAAATTAAGATTCCCGATTCAGAGTTAAGACAGAAATTAAACTTGCAAGTACTGTGACTATGGTACAATAATATTGGTAGTAGGAGTGTTAACATGTTTAGAGGTTAATCGCGGCAATACAGGGAACATGGCAAATGGTTGCTTCACTCCTTTCACTTTCATTGAAGATGAAAACAAAAGAACGGTATGATTTATTTGGAAAATGTATTAGAATGTTTGAAAAAAAAAAATTATGATTTCATAAATAATTCCGATTAAGCATGAGACGCACCTTTTTAACAACACATTTTAAATAAGTTAATAGACTTGTCATGACTAGTATATACGTTCAGAATGCGATTATTGTTTGCAATTCATAGAACGGGTTTGACTTTTGCCTAAAAACAATGTTTCTGATCAAAAATCATGAAAATAAATAAGCCTGAACATATTTTATCCGATTTTTTGCTAACTGGTGTTTTATGAATCGAAATAAACAACAGTAGTTGAAGCTACAAGTATTTCTAATTGAATTTCTTGTTAAGTAACCGGGATTAAACTGATATATTCATTTATCAATGTTCAGTCAAAAGTTATGTATAATAAACCGTGTCGGGGCTAACATTTTGCAGCATGTACTAATTATGTAAAACACATACAGCTATGTAAATTGTTTTCAATTAAAATAGTTTTCCCGAATCAGTTATCAGGGTAACGCAACATATGACGTCATTCTATTCGGAGCCAAAGATTATATAAAACCACAATCGATTTATAGAATCTTCGCATGACTATGACGTCGTTGAATTCAATACAATAATATAGTGCCAATAATATGGCCCATGCCTACATGTGCCTACACTCAGATTATCACCACAACTGATAAACTCCTATAAACTTGTATATAAAAGTTAGCACACATACCGTAATACGGTTATATTGAGACTCGAACGCAGTCACATCTTCCACGTTATAACCAGATGTTAAAACCAACCAATTGGAAGACCCAAACTCAACCATAGGAGGCATGAAGTAAGGTCTCGTGTAATACTGCCTCAATATCTTGACTGCGGACTGTGCACAGTTCTGCCAGTATATATTCCAGTGCTTGTTTGCTGCCATCCCTCGAAGTACGTGCAGTAAAAATGGATTGTCTGGGTCCATACTGACCACTTTACACAGATACGATGTGCTCAGAACTGGATTTCTAATGAATAACTGTAGGAAAAGTCATAATGTGTCGGAGTGAATAGTTATTACGTTTCCGTTGATATATTAGTAACAATTTTTGAGAAAATATAACTTCCAGAGAATTATTGTCCAATGCCGGTACGTGCAAAACGACATGTGTAGCTGTATTGACATTGAGGTAACATTAAACTTCTATAGTTTGTTATTCTAATCACACGACATGACCTGTTATCCAATCAGAATCGAACAAGCAGTCGATTGTAAGCCATAACAAAGTTTATTCTCACCAAGACAGAATAATTCAGCAATCGAATTAAGTTGTGCGTATAGCCGAATAGTACTAAATAGACTGATCTAATTCTTGCGGATTACACCGCAAAACCGATGTAGACTCATTACCTATTCCCTAATAAATGTATTATATATGTTCACAACATCTATAATTACCTTTGCTATGAACTTTGAATTGAACTGTCTATACGCCTCCCAGTCCTTTACTGCATCAGTTACAATAACAGGTGTATTTGTGTGTAGATATTTCGTCATTTCCGCTTCGGTTACGTCATTAATTTTAATAGGTGTCATAAACTCCTCACATGTCTAAAATGTAGAAAATAATATCTATCCATTTTTGTTAAAGAATAGAATATGGCTGACCAAGAAAATTGCTCTCGATAAGAAATAATATGATTCGCTCATGAAAAAAAAAGTTAGATACGTATTGGGTCATAATAAATGCACGATATATGTAACTGATGAAATAAACGAAACACTCCGGTCCAGGTAACCATCTGCTTGATTTAAAACTACATGAAGTTTTGTTGCTTTAACACCAGGGAAGGTAAACATGTATCGTATTGCCGGGTGATATTGACGGAAAGCGGAAGTGTATAGTTTTTGAGGACAACGTGCATAAATATTAGACAATAATATAATCCAAATAACGTAATATAATGCAATACGTCTTACAGTTCTGGTTTCTTCTTAACAGTTATGTCTTACCTTGCAGTCAGATTCATTGAGAGATTTCGAGTTCTGATATGGGTTGTACACCAGGCATTTATCTGCATACAGGTAACGCCAATCCCAGTATGGAAGTGTCTTTGAAAACAAAACAAAAAGTGACCATTCAATGCATGTACGTTTATTAGTTACTGCTGCTACATCCTACCAAATCGTAACTAATTTTCTTCTCAAGAAGTTATTGTGGTACGGTCTAAATTGCCTCCACGTCGTTAATGTTCAGACTTCCATATAAAAGATAAAATTTGTCGATGAATATGGTTTACTTATTAATCTCATTCGATATACTTTACTTGTTTTACTTATATCATTTGTGCACTGTTTACATAACAATATAACAGATTCAATCATTTAAATTCTACACGCCTTAACTGAAATGTTCTACCTTCCCTGACATATGTACATTTATCGATACCCCAAAAACTCAGTGGACTCAGGTAGTGAGTAGCGCTACTTGCCACGAGTGTTCTGCTCATTCGTTGTGCTGTACATTTCAAATATTTATTAAACACTAGAAACTCCTCTCTAGTTAGCAGCATTGTTTGGAGTATCGCAATTAACTCTTAATTTGGACTGTTTGGAATAAAATATTCACGTCTTTTTTCGAAACACCTGTCTCACGAATATTTGTCCCAACGTGCTATGATTTAGTACATATCATAAGAAGTTGATTTGGCGATCGTTGTAGTAAATACTGCGTAGGTAGTCATGGTGATTCGTCATTCATATATTAGCAATCCGATAACATAGATTCTAATTTTACAGCGTCCGCGATTTACATATTATGGGATAGCTAATAACAATGAGAACATTTCACGTCGTCATGGTTGAATAATCATAGGTAAATACATGCGCAGATATTGGTGCACAAATGTACGTTTTCTATTTTCAACTTACCACAGATGTACATTGTCCTATGCAAATATATTTCTTTTATGTTATCGATAACGAGCCATTGCTCGCACCGTCTAACCATTTTCAATAGTTACTTAAGACAATGTTTGCAAAACAATTGCACGTCAAGTAATATTCAAGTAAAAGTGGTCAAGTTACTAGTGAAACTAGCATACTCTATATAACATACATCGCTGGAATACTGATGATAAATAAATCATTCAACATTATTTTTCAATTATTCGAATCTTACTTTTAGAAACGTGATCCGGATGAAACTACAAATCAATTGATACGACCAGCTGCAATAGCAGAGGATAATGCCGACAACGAGGGAGACTGCTGCCACTTTTCCGTACGCTATCAACTTGGCAATGTTAGCTTCACGGATTACACCAAATATTGGGCTATAACATGCACCGATATCATCGACACTGAACCCAGCCTTCACGCAGAACTCGTATAGATCCACCATATCATCTTCGATTAGTTGTAACTTCTTTTCCGTTGTCAAACACTTTTGATCCTCAGTGGCTTCAACGATTACTGGGACGTCAAAACTATCCTCGGTGGTGGGTTTCCTGCATCTGAGTTGAGACATTGTGACCAATGCAATATATCACCGTGGCAGGCTTCAAGACAAGTACACAGAAACTACAGTCATGTTTAATATATGGGAGTAATAAACTTATATGCAAGGACGAATCTATTTCAATTATGGGGAGACACCGCTCAATATATGTACTCTCTCATCCTATACCATAGCCTCTGAAAATACATATTATGTTATGTGTCAAGCATCTCAATCTTACTTCAATTCATATTCATATTCATAAACAGCGCCCAGTTATGCGTCCAAATATGTGAGAATAAATATTTATTGTTAAATTACCTCAAAATAAAATAATTTCACCGAATGTCATCGAGTATAATACTCATATCACATTTCACTTTTTTATCAAAAACGCATCTAATCATTTTATCGGTATTCCATAACACAATATGTATTTGATGTGGCCACCATAACTATGCTAGTGTTATTTCGTTATGACAGGAGCCTCGTGGTTTCTATGTGTGGAGTATGTACATATATTTGACTGAATATCAAATGCCAATTAACGCTTATTGGAATTACTACGTTACAAATATGCTGTACATATAGTACAATTGACGCTGATGTCTAAATACAATAACATTCAAATTGTACAAAAGATGTTATTTATAATTGTGTACCATTATCGTATTTTATTTGCTATGTGGCTGTTATTCACTTGGAATTTAATAATGCTATTACCTAAATCGGTAAAAATATAATCCGACGATGAAATATAATATTTATGCAAAATCATTAAAATAAGTCATGTTTTTGAGCTAATCTTGCAAAAATGGATTGTTGGCGATTTTTATTTTTTTTAAAGTGATTATAGTGTTTTAGGGGATTTTTGATTTGCAAGTAGTAGATTGATAGACCCAATTTTGTAATAGAAACTTCTGTATTTTAATTTTTTTTTTGAATGTGAAATTCTATAATTTTCATGTGCTAGTTCTTTAAATTACTGTTTTCCGGCATTTTTTCAACATTTTCTTCGATTTTTTTATTATGTCACGTTTTTTGTAAATGTTGTCTAAAGAGGGCATACTTTAAAGTTTTGTTGAAAATTTTAGTGTTTAGCAATTTCAAATATCTACTAAAGCTGTTCGCTTGTTTTACTATATTAATGAATCAGTGCTTGAATTAATTGGTGTGAAATCATGATTTCTAGCATTTAACAACATTAACCAGATTGATTGAGTTCATAATAAAATTAACAATAGTTAATTACTCAATTTATTACTAATAGGGAGGTGGATGTCGTAAATTAACAACATGGAAAACTCCAAGACCTCTGTTTCTGTGTTTTGTATATTACATAGTTACTATAGTAATCAAGGTTGTTGTGAAAGGAAAGGAAAGTACAGTGTAGGAAACTTCGACAAACTTAGCCGATGACGCTTATACAATAGAGTTACCAGGTTCGGCCCAAATAGTCTGGGGGCCAAAATGCCAAAGCCCCCTATAAAATTAAATTCGTAGCCTCCCCCCCCCCGTGAAAAAGGTTTGACACTTTTTTTGTTTGTGTGGGTCCCCATGAGTGAATCTAGGGTGGATGTGGTCTGTCACAGTGGTAACATTTATAAGTATGGACGATTTTCTGAATCATATGAAAATTCTATTTTTTTTCATTCCTGAAAAAATGCGGTAAATGGGATGATTTTTCAATGTGCATACTATCATCATGTGCATTTAATTTATGAACTCAATTATGATTTAAATTTATTTTTTCGTTTAAAATACTGTCTTAAAATATATAATCCCCATATAGTTTATAAAAAAACATAGAAAAAACATAAAAGCCTTGCCCTTTAATTTAAATAACGTTGTTACTCTTCTTATAATGGTGAACTTGTTCAATATTCTTTATGACATATTTATCAATTTATTCATATTTCTAGAATCCAATGATAAT